CTCCTCTTGTTTCTTTTCTTGTTCCTCCAACAGCTGCTGTAATCTCTCCTCTTGTTTCTTTTCTTGTTTCTCTTCTTGTTTATTTTCTCGTTCTTCTTGTTTCTTTTGCTGCTCTTGTAGTGCTGCCATCATATCTGCTAAGCTGTAGTTTGATTTGCCGCTTCTCGTTTCCATTTTTTTCGTCCCACTCTCTGACACCAATTTGTTAGGTCTCCGTTCGTTAGTTAATTTTCCGTATAATTTCTTTCCGATGAAACTTTAGCGACACAAGTCCTTTCTTAAGTAAAACTGGTTTATTCTTTCTGAATACAACTTTGCAATACACTTAATTTCCACAGTCGCGCTATAACAAACACTATAATTCACAACAAACGTCTCACGTGCTCGACTCAACTGTCAATTACGCATTACATTACCTGCTTGCCGTCACTTCTTGACGGCTTATATATACAAGACTACTGCATATCCAGTAAAAGCTCGAGACTTCACGAACCTTCGAGAATATGGCGTGTTACTAGCGTCACGTGACAATATAATAAAAATTTGACTTTCAATAACTTATTTCAATATGTTTATGTGGAGTTGAAGACAAGTACTTTAGCAGTTCCTTATTTTTAAGTTTTATCGTTCATGAAAAGTAAGGCATTACTACGTGTAGTGTACCCTGTATTTTACATTTGTGAACGTGGCTAAAACTAATGTTCATTCTATTATGTCATAGAGTTAAACAACACATTAACACTTAAAAGCTAAAGAAAGATAATGCATTCTATGCTAAAACCTATTCTATTCTATTTCAACCATCACCAGTCTCAAAAATATTTTCTACGTAGCATTCCAAGGTGAACAACGCATTTAAAAGTAAATTAACTACCATAATAACACAAGGTTTAAGAAGTGTCTGCAGAGCTTGATTACGACAAATTTTGACCAAGAAAAAAAAAGAAGGGTAACAGGGTTATTTGATTTTGTACTAGAGAGAATACTTTATTGACAACTGCATATATGGATAGCTTTACAATGACCTCCTTTCAAATAAGTGTGAAACAATAACTGGGATTGCACAAAATTCTAGCCGATTGCATTTGGTTATTACCAGAGCAGCTTTGAATCAAGTACTATCTTTGCCAGTACATCCCCCAGTGGGACAGCGATAAGTATTTCGACTTACAACACTAAAATCCAAGGTTTGATTCCTTGTGGTGAACACTGCAGCTAGCCCACTGTGGCACTGCTATAAAATAAACTAACAAATCAGCAATATGCCAGAACACCTCAGAATTGCAACTCACAAATTTCAAGAGACTAAAGTTCCATTCTTCAAGAAAGAGAAAACATAGTTATGTATGGCATAACACATAAGTTTGGATGTAGACGACACTAGGTATGGCTTTGGTACGTGTCTATAGCAAGGATGAAACTTGATTCTGGCTGGGATGGTCCTCATCTCGTTCTCAGACAGCTTAACGAATCTAAGTACGGTGCATGAAAACTCACTGACAAGAGAGAGACGTGTCACCTATAAGCCTTTCGTGCGTACGTTGAATCATGAATGAGAAGATGAGGAAACTGAAGGGTGAGAGGACAATAGTTGATGAAAATAACGATGTTAACAGCACTTATCTGGCTGTCCAAAATTAGTAAGGTGAGTCATTGCAAGATGTCGACATCAATTTCTTTATCATTATGCCGGAGGTTATTTTTTGTCCAATAATCATGATGGTCAAATGAAAAATAGGCTAATGGCCTAAAAGAAAGTGATGTTTCTTACTTTCTGACCTATCGATCTGTGGCATTTTATGATGGTCTCTTGGTTATAGTACAGCTAGGACAGGTGATGTTATTAGTTATAATGCTTAAAACATTGAAAGTTAGCTTGACTGGAAATAATATTCTAATGCATTTGTAACTTAAAAGGACTTTGTGTCCTTGCTTTTTAAGAAGCTAAGTGGAATTTTGTAGTGAACATTAACAGATGTTTATACGATAAATCACCTGA